ATTGGATTGTATAACAGTGCTTAGGGAACGAGTATAAGTTTCTCTTTTTTTATCATCTGTTTATCTCAAGCGGTTTGTTATTGATCAGATTTTAAATTGATTAAGGACGGCTTAAACAAAAGATTTTTTTTATTAGTAGCCAATCTATTTTGAGCTTGATTCCTCAGCTTCGTTTGAAAAAAAATCTATGTATCGATTTAAATATCAGACAATAACACTTTTTTATAATATTTTCGGCAACAACACTCATATTTTAAGGCTTTTTAACTTTTAAATCATTGAAATGATCGAAAATTTTGACTAAGCGCGGGGAAATGATGATTGAAAGTGTGGTCCCAGGTCTCATTATATCTCACACCTCAGCCCAAACCATCAACAATTGGACGATGATTCAGTCAATTTTTATTATTCTGGCTTTGTTGTTGCTTTAATTTTAATTGTTCAGTTATGCTTAACTCTCAATAGGTAGCTCCTCGACCAAAAAATTAATATTTCGAGGGACCTGATCGACCCTCCGAAGTACAACGCCCTTCGGCCAAAAGCTTTTCTAGACAATTCTTCTTCTTAATCAACAATGTTCCAATTTACTGTAGAATATTTGGAAATAAATCGTGAATCAACATTGAATATATTATTTGGATTCTTGTACGGAAACTGGTTTGACAAGCCACATGAAAATAACTAGGGCTACAATGCAGAGAAAAGTGGCAGATTCCCAACTTTTACAGTCTATCGACAATCAGAACCTTTTACGCCTTATGACGTCAAATAAACAATTAAAAATCTTCCTTTTCAAAAAGCTCCAGGATTTGACCTCAGTACACTTTCAAGCCTACATGAACTTCCAACAGAAACCATAGATTTCCTAATCACCCTTTGTAATACAACTTTCCAAAACCATGGAAGTTTTCCATGGTTCACCCAATCCACTAAATGACAAAGGTTAATAAAGAGACGGCCTTTACGACCTTATACACCGCGATCAGTTTTGGTCTGTTGTTCTATTATCTATTATCTAGAGTTCCTCATACCAGATCCCAAAGCTTGGTCAAAAACAACCGGTACTTCTTCATACCTGGTCCAGAGTTCAACTATCATTCTTGTCCTAGACATAGTAGTATTAGCCATTAGTTTTTGCGAAATTTTTCTCTTCTGTCCAAGGGTACAATCTCTTCGAACTAAGGACTTATTAGTCCATTGCCAGATGGATCTACGTTATTGGCGTTTTGGTATGTCGTAAAAGGGTTCATGGAGGATAGGTGTCCTCATCGACCTTCATTGGCAAATTTATCGATCTTTTCTTTGCCCCTATGCTTGTGTGCGCTGGAATCCAGATAAGATCTCCACATTACGTCTGCCTGTCCTCTCTAAACCTTTTACTCCTTATCACGTCAAATTAGCAATTAAAAATCTTCTCTTACAAAAAAGCTTCTGGATTTTTGACCCCATTCATTACTTCGTGAACTCATAAAAAATCGTGATTTTCCTAACCACACTTTAAATGCATAGTTTACCATGGTTCATCCAATCCGTAAATCCCAAAAAACCATATCACCTTCTAAATTCCTACCGCATTATCGGTTTACTGCCAATTTTTTGTAAACACGTTGAAAAGCTCCTTTGTAAGCAAAAAATCCCCCTTAAAATTTTCTATCGATTCTTGACAATAAACTGGTCTGGAATATAGGAGTCACCATCCTACTGTTCCACCATTCCATCGTGCTGTGGACATCATAACATCCCTTGAGAATAAGGAATGCTCTTCTCGAACAGGATGGATGTATATGGATTTATTCTGGAATCTCAAAGGCTTACTACCTAGCAATATTTTTGTTATTGCTAGAGAACACTATCTTAATGCTAGGAGGCACTTTATCCTTAACTCCCAACTGGTCGAAAAGTGCTTCAAAATATGTGTCGGAATCTCTCCCTCTTCTGGCCAACACATCCTTGGCCCGTTACTGCATTCAGGATAAATGCTGATATCCCGATGCCTCTATCCTAGCATACACTGATAGCACTGGCATTCTATCCTTTAACGCCGTCCATGATCAGAAAATATATAAGGATAACACAGAAGAAATAATCATATAGGTAGGGTATTAAAAGGAGATAGTATCTACTAGAAAGGAAGGGTTTGTGTTTTAGCAGTAAGGTCCTAGTGCCAGACAAGATTAAACTCCTTTTGTAGCATAGGAAAATGAATGAATCAGCGCACATTGAAATCGCAGCACAGCACAGCTGACAGCCGATGGCGCTGTGGCAGTGGTACAGATTTCGCGTCGCGTCATGGGGTCGTGTTGTATTTTGCACCATGAGATATCAAACAATTTTTACATAGACGTTTCAACACCCTGTTTTCAGCGATTTTATTTTCATATGCACTTCGAAGATTCGTGTTTTTTCAAAATTGTAAATATTTCCAACCCTTATGTACAGTGAAGGGAGTTGAAACAGTAAACCGAGGACATAAGGCAAATTTTGTAGCATAGGGAAATGAATGACCCAATACACAGATGCGATGCAGCACAGCACTATAGTGCCGCGTGTTGGGGTCGTTTTATGCTTGATCATGCGATATCATTCTTTTTGGCAAGTCGTTTATGAGACGATTTGACACAACGCGAACAAGCGGAAGGAAAGACATTTTTTATCAGAATGGATCAGCTAGATAGCTTAAGAACATTGCTTTTCTTAGGAAAATCCAATAACTATTAGAACTTTGTTATTATATATTTTTGTTACAATTAATTAAGGTTTTTAGTTGAGATGAAAAAAAGAGTGGGGTTGAGATGGGAAGTTGATGTCCGAGTGGAAAGAGGTCACGATAGCTCAAGTGGTAGAGCAGCGGCGTATCTAGCCGAAGATCGTGGGTTCGAATCCCGCTCGTGCCATTAAATTTTTTCATCTCAACTAAAAACCTTAATTAATTGTAATGATTTAATTGGGCAAGCGGACCACGAAATTAGTGAATATATTTTTGTATTCCAATTTTGTTGAATAGTTTACTTTCAAACGAGAATAATAAATAAACAAATTATTTTGAATATCAGACAATCTTTTATTATTTGTTTAATAGAAAATGGGATCTCTAGTTATGGAAATAGCTTGTAGCGGGAAACGAATCGCCGCCCTAATTTTCCTTTGACGTCAACCCCTTTCAAGGGAGGAAAACAAAATGGCATGTCGCTCAACTGTACTGCGAAACGGATCGTCATCTGTCGGCACGTTTATCTTTCACATATTCCTGGCCGTGACAATCGGTTTTGAAACCCAAACTTGTATTTATCCGACATTGCCATGGGGTTGAAAAGGAATATGAAAAGTAAAAATTAAAACAAAATATTTTACATTACTAAAGAAAACCTCCAACAGGTATAAAACGTAAATAGCGAAATAATAACAGCGTAGTGAAGGAACATCACCATTAGGAACATCATAGCCCCAAGGTTATGATATGAACATGTCGTTTGAATTCAAGCGAAATTCCCGGACAGATACAAATACCAAAACAGTACGGGAAATAGGGAAAGACGCCTTAGTTGAGAATGGCACCTAGGTACGCTGATGGACCAAGAACGCAATAAGGTACAGCTGCACGATTGTTCGGTTCTGGAACCAAATACTCAGATGGGAAAATCCGTCAATATGTCCCAGGCTGAAGTCCATGCAATTGAGAGATGTACTCAGTTCAATCTGAACAAAGTGTAAAAACCAGGTACATAGCTATCATGTCAGCTAAGCAGCCATCAAAGCACTATGCTAAAACATCATTAGCTCAAAGGGTCCTAGGACATGTTGGAGTAGAGGAAACAAGAGCGCGGACACCCTTGCATGGAAGGGAATCTATGCCGGTGATAGATCCTGATCCCTTCTGTGGCATAAGGAGTCGCTCAATCAATGAGCACCTCAGACAAAAACACAACATGAAACTTAAGAAAAAGTGGAATTCACTCGTTTGACAAAAACAAGCCAAGAACTTTCTAGCAGGTTTTGGAAGGAAAGAAGCAGCAAAATGCATTAAAGGAAATAGGACAAAAACTTTGAATCCGAACAGGATTGTTAATGCTTTATGGCCCGAAGTTAACAGCCTTTAAGCCCAAAGTTACAGAATTAGCTCTTTTAATTAACTAATTAATTTTTGCCCAAAGTTGCCTCAGGGCATCACCAAATTGACCAAATTTGCTAAACGGTTTCTAATCCTGTGAGTTTTGGGCGAGTGCACTGATTTTCCTTCAGTATTTCTGCCCGTGTATTGGCAACACTGATTTATTTGGCGCAAATCTAAAATCATCCATTTTGGAATCTTCATCACAGTATCGATTGTTATATTTGTCAAACATAAAATTTTTCATATCCAGTTTTATAATTGTAATGTGACAATGAAACAGATAAGAACATTTTTTTCCTCAACGGGGTAAAGAAAGTCCGCTTGAGGGAGGGGCCCACCAAAAGGCACGACGACATCCATACATGTATATTTAGTAGTCATAATTTACCTTATTAATTATTTAAATTAATTAAACCTTTTATCTAAGGTCTTGGTTGAGATGAAAAAGTTAATGTCATGAGCGGGATTCGAACCCACTCAACCAAGACCTTAGTTAAAAAGTATAACCAACTTCAACGGTCAATTATGACCACTAAATATACACATATGGATTAATATAATAATTACAGTAGTACTTACTTCGCTAACAGCTCACCGCGGCCACTTCATCGAGAATCGAGAGAGGCCGAGAATCGAATCCTGATTACACGATATTAGAAAATATGGCAAAAAGATGAAAATTTCGAAAGGTTGAGATGAGAAGTTGGTGTCCGAGTGGCTCCAACAAGTGGTCAGAGTAGCGGCGTATTTAGCCGAAGGTTGTTGGTTCGAATCCCGCTCGTGACACTAGCTTTTCATCTCAACCAAGTCCTTGGATAAAAAGTATAATTAATATATATTTTATTGTTGACCATTAGAGTATTAGAAAAAATTGGTGAAAAATGCTTACCTTCATCGGCAACCAGGTCGTCATCGTGTCCCATTAATTGGTCCCGCCGCATTATCGTCTGAAAGGAAGACATGAAAAATTTCAGAATGCTAATGATGATCAAACTTGAAAAACATTTTAATTGATGTAATTACCAGGAAGGCCTGAATCAATAAAGATAAACAGTGGATTACAAACGAAAAGACGTTATTTAATTTAGGCATGCGATTTTATACCCCTGACTAATAATAGCCTTTTAAATTTTTTATGATTGGTATACGTTCACTGCATTCCGATCCCGATCATTTTACCTCTGCTGAATGAACATTAGATAGAAAGACTGGACGATGAGGATGGCCGGTTACTTTTGCAGTCAGGAGGATTCTTGAAAGATCAGAACTTCCCTCACGATGTTATGTTAGCTGAGGTAATCAGAATGCCAAAGAGATTGGAGTAAAATTAAAAGTTTCCCACGCTACTGTAAACCGGTTTTTGCAAGGCATTGCATCGGTTCCCAAGAGATGCAAGACAATTCCTCACGGAAATTTACACATGAATTAAAATTTTCACAAGGGCTACTTCTTCATCATCCGATCTTTCCCGCGAAAAAGTCTCATAAAAAGATTTCGTTGTCTTTTTGGTTTACAAGATACCACCTTAAAGTTCAATCAAACTAACAGTCACATGTTATGAAATAATGATTTGTCAGCAGTTCTGACAATTTAACGCAATGACATTCGGAAACACAACCTCGTCATGATTCAAAGCGAATAACGTCCAAGTGTTTGTTAGAATTAGTAAGGTAGATCCTATTCTGATTTTTTCGTGATGTTCATGCGAAGTAGTATAGCAATTCCTTTACAGGAGGGCTTAACTACCCGTTGGATGTCTTGTTTGAGTGGCCAGAAACACTTTACAAACTTTTTCCAACTTAATCCCTCATGAAATTGTTAGAGCTGCACCGGTGAAACCAATCGCGAGGCAAATACGAGTTCACCGTAACATTAGCCGTTTTGAAAGAGCCTATCTTCTCTTACATCCATCCAGAGGACCACTTGAAGTGGACTACGAAGACATTGAGTCATAGTACTATTCTGTGCTTATATACTGTCTATAAACTACATCATCGAGGCACGCGACTGGTGCGCTTTTTGTCCTGAACTATTTAGCCTTAAACATCAATATTATACCATATCCCCCATGTGCTTTCGGGAACACCTACAGTTAGTGTTGCCCACGAGGTGAATTGTAGTACAAGCACGGTTTTGAATGCTGTAAATTGTTAGCAATCTTCTGACCGCTTCAAGACGTTATTCGCAGCGGTGTCGAACTTTTAGTGGCCGTCTGGTTCTAAACATTAGAGGCACCTGTCTGGAGACGCCCGATTCCTGGAGAAAAATCTCTGGGTGTCCTGTGCGGCCCCTTTGAGGACGGTGGGAAGGGTAGACGATAGTAGCCTCTGTTGGGTTAGGCTGGTTCCCCGGTACGTCGGTTGCGCGGTGGTAAGAACCCTTCTAACTTTCCAATAGAAGGAAATTCACGTGGTTTGAACAGCAGGAGCGTCCTTCCCAAATTATCGCCTCAACCGAGATTCAAATCCCACAATTAATTATTTCTATGTCAACAGCCCTGATAATGTAAAGCACCTCAGCAAAGAGCAGCAAGAACCTCTTGATGTTTCAAAGTAGGAATTGCCAAAAACGTTCCCTTGTTTGTTTGAAATACGAAGGCGGAACCATTCTTTTCTTTTTGAGCTATACACTGATAAACGACAACGGGTGGTATAGCGTGGTTTGAGACTCGAGACCCCGAAACGGCTCACCTCGTGTTCTCATCCACGGCTCTTTTTCTCAATCCGAGCTCCTTCATTCTATCCTGTGACCCCTCCTAGCCCTTGGTTACAAGGGGGGTATGCGGGCACAAAATAAAGGAGCAGCCCAGAGGGCGTGGCAACCTCTCTGAAGCACAAGCTGAACTCGTGTCGGCCTAGGATCGGCATGGGCGGCGGGTGCCTTAGCAGAGTCACAGATCCTGTCTGCAAAGACGGGGGAGGGTGTATGGCCATCTGTACCACGGGGTAACTAAACTTTCCAAATTCAGCCCTAGTTACACTGGGAATGGATTCGTGGTGGTGCGTGGTGACGCCCCTGGCGGGAACTTAGACAGAGGCTGTTTTCTATTTGTGACCTTCGTGAAGCTTCCTTATAGCCAACGTAAAACCCCCCGGCCTCACGGGAGACGTTGCGACCGGACGGGAGCATGTAAGCGTTGAGGACGCAATGATCATGCTACAGTCCCTCGAATGCGTAAGTAAGCGAATGGAAGCGGGTAGTGAATCGGTGTCTCGGACTCGAGTATGCTTTGCATTGTTGTGCGTATGACCGGCGTGGTACCCTTGGGGAAGCGAAGGATCGGACCACCTAGGCTGAGCCTGTGGCATCCCTCGAATGCGCGTGACAAGTGTAGGCTGAGCTCGATTAGAGACTTTACCGTAGGCGGTGCTCATCTAGGGTGTGGCTAGCAATTCCACTTTAAACTAAACCGCTGCCGGGGCGTTCCCGGAAGTTTCTACGCTAGGGGAGTCCCTATACTCAGGGAGATAGAGTGGCCTTCTCTATCTAGGGAATACTCGGGAGAACAGGCTGATGTATTTCGGCCTGTTAGCCCTTTGCGTGCGGCATACGACCTGATGCACAATGCGGGTCCGACCATTCGGAGTGAACAAGCGGAGAGCGAGGTTGTCTGGGCCCTTAGGGGCTGAGACACCTCTACACCAATGCTGCGGCGGTAACACCATTCCGTCGTATGCAGAATGCGTCAGCTCTCATCTTGAGAATCAAAACGTCCGATAAGGCCAAAGGCCAGGTGCGGACGCTAAAGATCCTCTTGTCTTGTTAACGATGAGTACTCGGGAACACAATGTTCACAAAAGTTCAAAAATGACTCTACAAAACAAACGACTTATTTGACCATTCAAAGACCCTTTGGCCAAACAGCATAGAACATGGGTTTAACATTTTTCAAGTTTCGTCAATGCTCCTATGTATATATAAAATCTTACCATTCACAATGACCTTAACATCCAATATGTCCTTGACATAGCCAAATAAAGCTACAAGAAGCTTCACAAATGTCAACAACCTCACATCCCACTCCCCTACAAGTATTCCTCACCGAAGACTGAAACCCTACCGAACTACCCAAATTGTGAAACATGCGATGAACCCGAGACAATGCAACATATTGTGTTTGATTGTCCGGAGTATGAAGAAGCGAGAAATGTCATGTTTGAACAAATCTTTAGTTACAAAGAGGTAGAGAAGCCCTTCAATTTTAATAGCCTTATAAGTTCTGAAAATGAAATGATATTTAAGACGTTGTTTGAATTTTTGAATAAAAATGATCTGAAGGCTTAATGCAATATCTGTCCAATTATTAATTTATTATAGATTTACATTGTTACTTATGTAGTAGAATTTATATATTTATATTAATAATTTATTAATTATATATTTTCCGATTGATTATTTATTATCGATGTAAATACTGATTTATTTATTGACTGGTTATATAGAAGGTTGTTCGCTGATACTGATACATTTGTATAGATTATTTATAATTATTTATTTACCAATTGATTATTTATTACCGATGTTAATACTGATTTATTAATTTATTGACTATTTATATTGAAAGTTGTTTGCTGATATTGGTACATTTGTATAGATTATTAATAACTATTTATTTATCAGTTGGTTGATTGACAGGTGAGGAACCTGGGTCATTCTGGGGGTGCTGGATCAGCTGTCTCGGGTTGTCTCCGGGGTGTACTCCACATGCAAAGGGCAATTTGTCCCAGGGAAGTGGGGAGGATGTGGACTTTTCCAGGGGTTGCCATGTTGACTGTTGCCATGTACGGTTTTTATCCACATCCTCCTAATGCTACCGAAATTAGATGTAAACCTGAATGAGAAGCGGGTGTATGGGGTAGTGCCCTTTGGGGGTGGCCCGGGTCGGTTGGCGTTGTCACCAATTAATTGACATTGACTGAATGTCTGTAGGGCAAAATAAAAACCCCAAGTAACCGACTATTTTGAAACTAGTTACCGATCAGTTTGTTCTGCCTATGCTCGTGGTTTGGCCTGTCTGACGCGTTTTTGGCACAATCTTCAGACCAGTCAAGCCAGCAAAAATTGACAGTCCAAAATATAACAATCGATAAACAGAATATAAATATCGACAAACGCATTTAGGTCTACACCTAGATAGCGGGCTGCCAAGTAAAAGTACACTTACTATAAAAAAACTTAACTGTAAGACTTCTAGGTCTGAAACCTATTATGATTAACAAGATCTAAGTACAAAACATTACGTAGATCAATCTGGACACACCGAGCGGACTATGCCAAGCTCTCGGTCCACCTAACCCTACTGCCAAGGCCTCTAGATTTCCCATCCCAAAATCTTCCATGCCTCAAACGATAATAGCTTCGAGACCTCTTCACCCCTTAATACTCATATTAAATCGGCTGTGTCCCTGATGTGTCAACTGGGTACGACCAACTACCCATTGGGTCCGAAGGAGTCAGAACTACTTGCAATACTTTTCTGATTTCTCCAACTTCATCTCACATAAAATTCTAAAACCTGTTCGGGTAGTTAGTGTCACATATATTAATCGCCTTAACCACTGACCATCACTGTCCCCGGGCCAGAGTTAGCTTAACTTACGACCTGTGCTAGTAAGGCCAATAATCGCCCAAGATTGGTAAACAGTAAAAATATTTTCTTCCAGCATGACAAAGCATGACCATATAACGTCAAACCACTTAAAATATTAATGAACTATTAATGAAAATAATGAGTTAGATCTTCATGGCATCATAGACTACAGTTAAACCCTAAGCCCCTGGGTTATCTCGCTCAGACGAGTTTCATTACCTTCTGCGGTTGGTCTTTGTGTTATTTTGACAATCATAATAAGCAAAAATTGTCAGATCTAGCTTCAAATTTAACTAGACTAACTAGAAATGTGTGCTTTCTACTTCTTTTTGTTGAGTACAAGCGTCATTCATAGAA